TAAAACGGACGACTGGCAGACATACCACTGTGCTACTGGTGGGCACTTCCAACTAAAACGGACGACTGGCAGACATACCACTGTGCTGCTGGTGGGCACTTCCAACTGAAACGGACGACTGGCAGACATACCACTGTGCTACTGCACTTCCAACTGAAACGGACGACTGGCAGACATACTACTGTGCTACTGGGGGGCACTTCGAACTGAAACGGACGACTGGCAGACATACCACTGTGCTACTGGTGGGCACTTCCAACTGAAACGGACGACTGGCAGACATACTACTGTGCTACTGGGGGCACTTCCAACTAAAACGGACGACTGGCAGACATACCACTGTGCTACTGGGGGGCACTTCCAACTGAAACGGACGACTGCTGCGTCGGCTAAAGTGAGAATACACATTTCGTACCAAGTTTAATATTTTATGCAACACGTGACATGCTTTTGAAGGGCACAAATGTATAAAGTAGCAAAAGCGCTTGATAGTTACTAGCCTCAAAATCATAGGCTTCAGCTTAGTTACAATGGAATTGTATTCATTATGATTTAAGACGTCCAGGAAGAAATAGACATAAATTAAAAAGAAGAGCAGGAAGGTTTAAAAGAAAGAAATGTAAGACTTAAAGAAGAATTAAAATCAAAAATAAATATGATTGACGACAAGGTCTAAGAAGCAATTGGATATGTACGTAGAGATTATAATGACAAAATCAAATAAAGACAAAAGAACTACAAAACAAAGTTGTGAACAAAAATAGAATTGACGATGTGCAGAAAGATTATAACAGCAAATTAACGAGATAGAAAAGGACATCAAATAAGTAAAAAGGGAATTAAAAAATAACTTTAATGCCAGGATAAAACATTTGGAAACTAAACTGGCAAATGCGGGGACCCAACCAATCACACACCTTTGTCCACATCTGTTCAAGATTTTCAACCTCAAACACCATTAACTGTGAAATATGAAATAGAAGAAGCCATTTTGTCTAAGTCTGTTCCGTCTACTGCTGTTCTACCTATAAGTACAAGATCTTCTGACCTTTTTTTGTACTTCTCTAGCTAATTCAATAACTCACCAAGTTCCAGAACAACACCATCCAATCAAGAATCCAACATACTGTGATGGGAAGGTGTTACTGGTGGCTTACCAGGCTCAGTTCGAAATAATTGCCAAAGCGAATAACAACCTATTTATCTTGCTTCCAACTGAGACCTATAACAACTATCAACTATTTGAGGTTGCCTTAGCGAACATGGTTGGAGTGAAACACCTAATAGAAGTCCCCAAAACAAACTTCGAAAGCAGAGTATGGAGGAAAGAAAATAGCTTAACAGAACTTAAGTAAGACATGGAAAGGCTTGCATAGTTATATTACCCGGATACCACACGTAATATGATGGAACATCATTGGCACGTGATGATAAAATAAATCTCATTACGATGAGGATATGTGAACTTAACTAAAGCAAATTAAGTGAACATCTTTAAAGAAATACTCTTACCGATTGGCGTTGCAACTTGAAACCACTAATGTTGTAGATAAACAGCTAAATGCACCATCTATAAATATATGAATTTATCAGATAAAATATCTCAAAACAAATATTTAGCATTCAAACAGGTTATTTTTTATTTTACCATTGTTGTTGTTGTTTTTTATTTTTCAGTTTACTGCTATTAATTCAGTACTGCTGTATTATATTTACACGATACTTTAGTTTGTTTCGTTTTTGCTTCAGAGGTCCAAAATCTTCCCCTGGAAAAACACTAGTTGCTTTTGTGACTAAAATAACCTTGAATTGTAAACACTATATAAAATTTACAACAATGATCAAGACTCTTGAAAGGTACAATGTGTTATAAAATTGAATGTGTTTATTGAAGATAAATAAATACTAGACTCCCGTAGAATTTCTTTTTTCAACACGTTATTTAAGCATTAAAAATTCCCCTTTTCGGGAAGCACTCATAGTAGAAAGAACAATAATATTTTATCTCTCTATGAATTTGAAATAAGTATGTTGTTATAAAAGTCAGTTCAATATATTCTAGCACTCGAGTCTGTGTACGCAAAGTCACATTAAGCCGTCTGCTGTATCTACCGAAAGGAAGCGAACACCTGATTTTAAAATTGGGAATTCGAAGACTTACCGCTGTCCCACCGTGGGACTTCAACATTCGAAGACATTTTAACTAAATATATCTCACGTCACTTGAAATACCGTGAGGTTTAGTCGTCATTTTCAGTTTTAAAATGTTTCGTTATTGTAACAAATTAAAACAAAAGGAAGGAAACATACTAATAAATATTCAGAACTTATATTATACAAAGGCCATATTTTCTGTCTTTCAATAAAAACATACCCTAGTAATTAATTGGAAATCTTAAATAATAACCTTACATTTCCTTTTTATGAAATGTTTGCCTTATACTAAAGTGTGACATTAAATACAAAGCCTGGTTGTTTGTTTTGAAGTTCGTACAAAGCTAGCCGCCTCTAATTTAGCAAGCCCGGCATGGCCAGGTGGTTAGGGCGCTCGACTCGCAATCTGTGGGTCGCGGGTTCGAATCCCCATCACACCAAACATGCTCGCCCTTTCAGCCGTGGGGGCGTTATAAGTGTTGGCGGTGGGTGGTGATGACTAGCTGCCTTCCTTCTAGTTTTACACTGCTAAATTAAGGACGGCTAGCGCAGATAGCCTTCGTGTAGCTTTGCGCGAAATTCAAAACAAACAAACTCTAATTTAGCAGTGAGAGACTGAAGGCAGCCAGTCATCACCACTCACTTTCACCAACAAATATGGGAATTGACCGTCACATTATAACGCTCCCTCATGTGAAAAGACGAGTATATTTGGTGGAACGGGGATACGAACCCGCAGATTGCGAGTCGAGCGCCCTAACCACATGGCCAAGACTGTAAATGCTTTTCATATCTTAAAACAATAATATGCCTTCTCAACCGACCAACAAATCATGTAATATGCTACTAAGAAACTTACAAATGATGAAACTAATTAGTTCGTACGAGCTTCTATATTGTCAATATTTTCTTAAGCATATTTCAAACACAGGGAATGATATAATAATAACTTTCTACTCTATGTCCTACAGGCGTCTGATATCCACATAACCGTGATTGTATCATTTTCCCCGAAACTAACCTCAAAAGTTGCCGTTTGATTTTTTCAATCATTATTAGAAACCAACAAAAAATATGTAAACTAGGC